GATATATCGTGCAGCCCTAATTGGCATTGCTTTTGGGTGACAACTGCACAAGGACACTAAAGTACTCTAAGGCTGTCAAATTAAAATTCGAATTTCGAATATTCGTTGAATTTAAAATAAAAATCCACATTCGAGAAAAAAAAAAGGTGCATTCAGTACGTGCTAGAGCTAGACGGACATCTTTGACCGTTGCACAGAGCCACATGCTTGAAGCTGTGTAAGGTTAAAAGAAGTTTCATAAATGATGCTGTTTTGTTTATAATTGTTATTGCAATTTACGAAATTATATTTGATTCATAAACGTAATTAGTTATATTTTGGTCTAAAATTCAAATTTAGTTTTTCAGCCATTTTGACATTCCTAAAGTACTCTTGGATTTCAATGCTAGCAATTATCTTTATCCTCACTATTTGAAATAGTCTAAGAATTTGACCCTTTAGTTTTTGCAAATGTGAGCATAGATGGCATGAAGAAAGCGCTTTAAATTGACAAGACAGAATGGTTTGTCTTAAAGTGTTCTCCTTAGCGTTGTGTCTGGCAGACTGGCTCTGTATAGGGCTGTCAGATTGATTTCTGAAAATGGACCCAGGGCTACATTTATGTGTGAAACAACTTCTCCTTAGATAATTGTTCTGGGCTGAAGCTGCTTGTAAGCCAAAACAGTTAATTAAGCCATTTCAGCAGCAAGACAGCAGTTTGCTGAACTCATTTTCACACTGAATAGTGCTTGCGAAGGTTGAGTGGAAACGTTATACATAGTAATGTGAAGGTTTGTGGTGGTTGATTTGCAGCTCTATACTTGGACACCACCCTCATGTGCTCCATAAAACACAGACTAGCGTGATTTGGCAGCAAGGAACAAGTCTGAAACAAGCTCCACTGAGACATTTGTACGGGGAATCTGGCATTTTCCTCAGTTTATTGCCTCACATTCATTTCATGATCACACACACATCTGGATGGAGTTTTTCTTGGAGATTTTCCTGGACTTCTTTTGTTCAAGACAATTTCATATGCTGGACAACATGATTGCTTATTTTCAATAGGGCTTGAGTAGCAACTTCTTAAACTTTTCAGCCATGGGACAGGATGTTTGTTAAGTGATGTACAGTGATGGCGTTTGATACAAAGGACGGGGGGAAGGAAGGCTTCCACATTGTCTGAATTTCATTAGATGACATACTTTTGCTGTTTTCTCTATTCATAAGCAGAAAACCTTTTTTTTTGTGTGGTATTACAGGGGTGTATTCCAGAAAGCAGGTTATGCAACACACCCGGGTAAGTTTACATATAAGTATGCGGATAACCTCAACTTTCAGTTTCCAAAAATGGAATTAACTTTCAGGCTATGTACAATAGCCATAGCAACTTACTCTCTGAACCTTCTCCAGACCAGGTTATGTCACAGGGTTAGTTTACTTCAGAGGTATTCAGTGCATACGTGCACTATTGATGAGTGATTTTGCACTATGTCACATTCTTAGCGTACCTTTCCATTGTGACTTTGTGGTGAATCTGGTGTACAGTTAAAAATGTCTTTGGGCTTTCACTATCAACATACTCTGGATTGAACTTTGTGTTTTTGGAACCAGCATACCCTGAGTAAGCAAGGTTTGGTTTAACCAAGAGTTCAGAGTATAATATGTGACGGTGGGTTAACTTTGCTTTCTGGAATACCCCCCAGATATCAGAAATACTAAGTCCTGTCAGAGCCATAGGGTTTCGAAGATGTACTCGTATAATGTGCATTTAGCAAAGCAACAGGTGCTAATCATCTTCCCAAACTTCCCTTTCCCGATTCCCATCTCCTATCCCTATCCCTCTGTCCTCTGCTTCCTGTCTCAAACTGTTCTATCAAAATACTATCAACAATTTAAAGCTAAAAAAAAGAAAAGAAAAGTCAAGTCCTAGCTTAAAGTGATGCGAGGACTGTATTGTCTGGATCTCCAAAAATCATGTGAGAGTAATTATGAAAGGTTGAATGATAGGAGTCACAAGGGAGAACACTTCAGACAAATCTAATTTGGACTTTTTAAAGACTGAGTCCCTCTGGGAAACTAACCTGTAATCATGTCTGAAGGAAACCAGTATTTATACCTACCAGCTTCATTGCAGTTTTCTCGTATAAAGAGTGAATGGGATTTCTGAGTTATGGAAGGAAATAAAATCTGAGCTTGCTGTTGTATTACAGAAGCAGCACCTCAAGCCCACATAATGGGTCTTCTACTACTTTGATTCACATTCTTAAAGCTGAAGTGTGTAATAATTTCTACTAGTAGCACCAAACAGAATTGCAAAAGTAATCACCATTGGTTGAGTCAGTGTTGCTGCTCTGGGCTGGTTCTCACATTTGAAACACATTTGTCTTATTTTAAGAGCAGTATGTCTTGGATTATGACTAGGTTTTAACTGTAAATTTCACTGTAATTCCAGATGTTCTTTAATAGCACCTGCTAGTAAAATCTCCAAACATCAAATGCACAGGCTGAGTTTAGACTTTACGCTGAGAATAGACGTCTCAGACATCTAAAGCGCAATGACTTATTTCTATCAAAAAGAACACATTAAGCTTTGCACTGCTTTATTTACATGGACCTCAAGTACATTCACCCACAGTTTGCATGTATACACCCACAGATATAGCAATTACGTTCACACAGGCCCGCCGCCCCGTACACAGGCATGGAAATTGCATATGTAGCACCTTGCTTAAGTATGTAGCCCCGTACCTAACACAAATATGAAAATAGAGCCTATAAACACCTACGCTACGCCAGTACCTTGCCATTTGCAACAAAGTGGAAGCAGACACTTAGCCACATTATGCAGTTTGTATTCTAACAGTTTTAATGAACAAATAAAATAACAACTGTTTGTGTTTATTCTTTATACTTGACCTGAAAATGTATAATGTTTTACAGCATTTGCCAAGTAATTAAATAATTGATTTGAGCAATTGTTGTATATTTGGCTCTACTGTAATCTAATAATGTAAACACTACTGTTCAGATGTTTGGGGTCAGTAAGATTTATTTGTAATGTATATGCTTATTCAGCAAGGACTCAGTAAATTGAGCAAAATTTAAGTGTAGTAGTAATAGATCTCTAAACATGTTGCGCTTCAGGTGACCTGAGTTCGAGTCCCGGCTTGTAGGGATGCACGATGATATCGGGACAACATCGGTATCGGCCGATAAAAGCTTAAAATGACCATCATCGGCATCGGCCGATATGAATATTTCTGCCGATAGGGTGGCGTGTTTCCTATGCGCACGTGACGACCGTGAACGAAGCATGAGCGCCAGCAACTAGGGGTGTGCGTCTCACGCCTTTTGATCGTGGACGATTAAAATATCTCTTCACGATCTGCTTTTGAAAAAAAATCATAGTATCGTGCATTCTATCAGTTCAATTCTGGCGCCTTCATCTCAACATATTGTACAACGCGACATACATTCACATCATATCACATCACATGTAAACGCAGAGGAAGAGTTACACTGCAATTCACAAAAGTTCATTATTTGCATGTGCGTCAAAGTCTTGCTAGTTAAACATGTCATTCACGTGCGGATGCGCTGTTCTAACATCCGCTTTTCTGAGCGCGTTACACCCGACGCTCACAGGAACTAAAAGCCTGTATACTGGACTAATCTTTCGAGTCTTATTGCGCTGATACGGTCAAATACATTACACACAAGGTTTACATAAACAAAGTTGGTAATGTCTAAAGTGAAAGCAAACAGAGAAAATCTGCTTGTCAAATGCGTGTATATTAGACGCGTCGCGTGCAGTTCTTAAAGAGACAGTAATAATATGCTGCCGCTTGTCCTTAAAGAGATACTGCACCCAGAAATAAAAATTCTGTCATTATTTACTCACTCTAATGTTGTTCCAAACCTGTATTCATTTCTTTCTTGTGCTTAAATATACTATGGAAGTCACTGGAGTACAGCAACTGTTTGGTTAGCCACATTCTTCCAAATAACTTTTATTTTCAACAGAAGAAAGAAACTTGAGAGAGTAAATGATGACAATTTAAATTTTTGGGAGAACTATCCCTTTAATGTTAATAAAACAACAAAACACAGAGGAAATCACTCACTGCTCTTGACCGAGAACTTTAATAGAAGCTTTAATAAGCTTTTTTTGCCCTTAAAAAAAATACAAATATATCGGTGTCGGTATCGGCATCGGGCAAAATTAGTTTGAAAATATCGGCATATCGAATATCGGCCAAAATCCAATATCGTGCATCCTGGCGGCTTTTCTGATCCTTTCTCTCTCTCTCTCCCACTTTGCTTCCTGATAGTTCTCTGTACTATCTCAGTAAAGCCACAAAGGCCAAAAAAAAAGCACAAATAGCCAGTAAAGACAACTTCCAGTGGCTACACAAAGCTACTACTCTACATAGTGATGCCCCCTGATGCCTTTCACTTTAAACTGCTGTAAAACTCGATGCCCAAAGAGACATGGTAAAGCTTTGGTGACCGCAGTAACCACGGCCTTTTCATTTCTGCAGCATAAAGAGCTTCATGCAGGTCTTTTTGTAGTTCAAAGCCCTTGTGTGCAAGAGAACCAACCAAAACACCCTCTAGTCTAGGGTGTCTGTCAAAGGGACTTAATTAAAATGTGTTAATGTAGCAGATGAGTGTTGACCTTGCTTTAGTTAAGAATGATCAAATTGTGCCTGTACTCATTTCATGACCCTTTGGGTGGTGGTAGTTAGAAAATAAGTGGTTTGTTGACTGTGGTTGGGTGTATTTCTTTGGACTTGTTGTAGCAGGAAGTTTTCTGTTTGTGCTGTAACTTGCTGTATGAAATGTATTGCTGTGTGTATTCAGCCTCTTTTTTGTTTTTGAAATTTGACATGAGTCATGAACTACAAGTAAATATTTGACTTCTCGTGTTCAGTCAGGATTTGAGTTTACTTTTAGCATGGACTGTGTTAAAGTTCACGACCCAGGCTTATGTTTACTTTCCGCTTCTTTCCCCTTAGGCTCGTCTGTCCTATACTCGAGTGAAGTATCTCTTTCTCACGTGGCTTGCTGTATTTGTGGGTAGTTGGGTTGTGTATGTGCAATACTCTACTTACACTGAGCTGTGCAGAGGACGAGAGTGCAAGAGCATCATTGTGAGTACGACCCTCTCTGACAGTTGCATTCATTTCAGTTTCATCTTGATACATCTTTATCATTATTGAATACTTAATTGTGCAGCTAATTTTACATTTAGTTTACCTTTGTCATCTGACGCTCACTTAAAGTTAATCTTAAACACTAATAATTTAACACTGTTGTTAAATGTATTCTTTAGCAAATCTCAAAATTAATATAATTTTTTCATACTGTACAATATAATGATGTGATGCCTAAATTCACTTGTTGTATTTATTTTAGTTTCTTTTATCGATTATTGGCCAAAACATAGAATAATAATGATTTTAATATTGGTGTATCCCTAATAACAGTACAGTGACATTTAAAGGGAATAGTTCACTTAAAAAGGAAAATTCACCCTCATGTTGTTCTAAATGCATATTTCCCCTTCTTCCATAGAAAATAAAAAGACATTTAGCAGAATCTAATTAAGCCATATAATATAATGTGTAAGGAGAGATACTTAAAATGAATATTCACTTCATCAAAAATATCAAGAGAAGTTCCTTGCTTGTCACATGACTGGTCATCATATTTGAATTTGTGCACGAGATTTGAGAGTTATAATGAAGGGCAAGATTTTTTTTGTATCACACTAAGCTATTGTATGTCGGCATGAGACTTTTATAATATAGTACATAAGTCATATGAACCCCTTTTGGTGGTGCTTTTATGTCCTTTTTTGAAGCTCGACAGCCCCTGCTCAACATCCACTGCCACTGTATTGAAAAGAGCAGCTTAAAAATTCTGCAAAACATCTTTTGTGTTCTATGGAACAAAGAACGTCATATGGGTTTGATATAACACAAGGGTGAGTAAATTATGGCAACTTTGAATTTTGGGTGAACTATCCCTTTAAGCCATAAATGATAAAGAAACAAACATCCATGTACTACCTAACCCCCAGCCCCACCTATTGGTGATGTAGTGAAAATGTTTCTCCTGTATTTAAGCCATTACACAACATCTTATTGAAACGCTTCCACTTGTTCAACAGAATGTCACTTACATGCTCATTGAAATGGACCTTCCTTTTCCAACAGTGTGACAAATACAGCAAAGGTATTATTGATGGCTCTGCCTGTAGCAGCCTGTGTGAAGAAAGCTCACTATACTTTGGAAGGTGCCTCTCCACCAAGCCAAACAATCAGGTATGACACAAGGCCACGTCCACATTAATCTAGATATGTAAAAAAAAAAGGGTTCTTTCAAAACGAACTCTGTCCACACAAGCGTTTTTAAGCATTTTCCAAAAGTTTCTCATCCACACTGACACACTGAAAATAGCTTGAATCACTTTGCTGTGCATGTGTGAAACATCATAAAAGCTCACTGAGGCGATACTGAGAGACCAGACGTCATAATATGCTCTTGCTATTCTTCTGGCATGATCACTTTATTAGTTTGCACTCAACCGGCATTCCATATATGGTTTAAGGGTCGTTCATGTCGCGACTTTTGCATACTCAAGTTCGCTATTTTAATAGTAGATGCGTGACAAGTGTGCTTACAATAGAGAGCGACGTTATTGCGACGTACATGCTCGTTTATTCCAGGTGTGTTTACACTGCAGCGAGATGAAAAATCTCAATTTTTCAGAATGCTTCAAGGCAAGCACACCGCAAGTCATGTGACAAGAACCAACCAATCAGCTTCACCCTTTCCGTTTGAAATAAACATTGAAACCTCTGCCAAGGTGGAGGAACAGCTGATCATTGCTGTACAATATGCGTCACATGGCTAAATATGCATCATCATTATCCGAATACCACACTACAATGTGAAAATGCCGTTTTAAAATTTATCCACTTTGGAGAGATTCTTTAAAAATATCGATTTTCTGTGGACAAAAGGCCAAAACATTAATTTTCCAATTCCAACAATAAATTTACCCGGAATAATGTGGATGCCACACTCACCATAGTCCCTAAAATAGGGTGTCTAGTCCTGCTCCTGGAGTCTAGCACTAATGCTGCCTTCACGTGCTATCCAAATTATCGCAAACACGACTTTCCTAGTCAAAAAATGGGATATGAATGCCCTCTCAAGTCATATTTACCACTGGGAAGCTCAGGGATCATTTTGATACCCGAGTTCTCAAGTTGGGCAGACAATAAACTTTAAACATGGCGGAGGGCAGAAAGATTGCTACTTGCTTGGTTAAAGGAGCTGTATGTAAGATTGTGGCCAAAACTGGTACTGCAATCACTTTCAAATTACTGTAGAGTGGTGTATCCCCTCCCCCTCCCCCCTGACTCAAGGTTGCCAGATCGGCTGCAGGATCCAGCAGGAACGTGACGAGCTGCAGCTGTGGTAACTAGAGCAGAGCTGGCAACCCGGATGCCACAACACTACTGACTTCGTGATTGGTAGATAGGTGGAGGGTGGAGCATCAGACCAAAACACAACATGACAACATCAACATCAGTTGAGGGCTGCAACTTCACTTTTTAAATGACAATATCCTGGCCGGACTACTGTTGTCAGTGATATAAGTATTTGAAATGTACATGATTTCTTAATGTCTCGTGATATATCAGGGCCATTTTATGATTAATTGAAATAAATTTCTTACATACAGCTCCTTTAATACCAAGTAATTATTATTTATTAATATTAGCCATGTCTTATCATTAAAGTAGTGTATATTTACATGTATGAATACTTTAGTGAAGCGTATTGTATGTTTTATACAAATAGCCTGTGTTTGACCAAAATTCCAGAATTGTAAGCAAGCTTTCTATATAGTGCGGTGAATGTTTATATGGTTGTCAATGAATGGTATGCTAAATATCCTTTTGGCTTTAATAAGATATTCCCAATAAATAGGCAAGAATAAACCTGGTGTCCTCCATGATTCATGTTCTGTCCGACAATAAAGCACTTGAATATGCGACAAGCTCGTAATCACGATTTCAGAAGTGGGAAGCAGGAAAAGTCCCATAGTGTGTGAAGGCAGCATAATTAAATGCACCAGAACCTTCCGGATCACTAGAGCAGGAGCAGGTTTGGAGTGGACACCCCTGCCCTTAAACCACATGCATCTCAGTACTGTCATGTTGACATTGTGTGTTCATTTACTACTCTTAGGTCTATACAGGCAGCTGGGGTGACCTGGACGGCATCATTAAGTGTCAGCTGAGTGACGTCCTGCACTATGAGCTGGGAGAGGAACTGGAGCCAAAGAAAGAGGTCGCACTCTTTGACAAACCCACTCGAGGAACCTCTGTAGAGAAGTTCAAAGAGATGGTTGCCAGTCATTTGAAGGTTGGAATACTTTTTTTATTATTATTATTTTTTTAAACAATGGGGGCTTTCGCACTGGTTAGTTCTAGGAACTAGCCACCAGGGTGGTTCCCCAAGAACGAATCGTTCCCCTAGGAACATTTTCCTGTTTGTTGAACATTTTCCTGTTTCAGGAACTCTGAAGTGACGTAATGTTGTTACTTTTATTTGACGGCGCAGCAGACCTTTATTTTTATTTTGACACACAGTACTCGCATTCGCCGTGTTCATTAGTTTACAATCTGTCTAACAGTCCTGTCTAATACATCATTAGATACTGTTATACAAAGAAAGTAGACCGTATATTAAAAGGTATTAGCGTTTGCCGTGTGGTTGATGTCCAGTGTCGCTAGCTGAGCAGAAATACATAATCATGTTTCACTTGGTCCCCTTAAAGTTGCGTTGGATGTTCTCCTTGGCCCATCTATCACTGTTTTCCATGTTCGTAGAGTTAGTTTGTGGAGTAAATACATATGCTACAATCTGTGAGTTTACACAGCTTTTTAAAAAATGGCGGGTGCTGGTCTTTCGCGTGCGTTCGGCCAATCAGCGTTCACTAACGTCACTGTAGTTCCTATAGTGCTGGTTTATGGTGCGTTCAAGTCATCTCGCACTTGAACGCCACCACAATGTCGTAAATACCAGTGGGGAGCTCGGGATTTTCTCTAAGCCCCGATCTTTACGAGTTGAGGGGCGTGTCAGTGATAAAGATGGCGGAATACCACAATACTTAAAAGGTATTTAGCAGTGATATTGTCAGGCTTTTCTATTTACAGCGCAGTAAGCTGATTGCCTGCACAGAATATGATGGCATTATAATATAACAATGCAACATGTAACGATAAAGTTGGCAGTGGCTTCATAAATTAATTAAAAACATAAAAAACAAACAAAGTAGCCTACACCTGATGCACATTTCTTTGTTTTTCATTTTCTAGAACAAGAGTTTAAGAACCTTGCTGTATTTTTGTGTAATTAATTAAGAGAAAGTACTCCGCCATCTTACTCCGATGAAAGTGACTTGAACGCACCTGCCGTCGTAAACACGACTTCCCACCTCGTACGTACGAACTTCCCAGGAGGACTTGAACGCACCAATAGAGCCTCTGAAGTAGAAGCTAAATGAATTCCTCCAAAATGAGTTCCTAGAACTCCTGCTCCAACAATAGGGGCTTTCGCATCGGAGTTACCTTTTCATAGTTCCTAGAATTATTGGCGGAAGTACCCCGTGTTCGTACCGAAAATCCGGGTACTTCCGCCAATAGTTCTATGAAAAGGTTCCTCCGGTGCGAAAGCCCCTATTGTTGGAGCACTCAATTCTTTAAAGGAAAGCCACAATCAGGTTGAAGAAACTTAATGCACCTTTCATTTAAATTCGCAATGTAATGGACGTAGCAACATATTTTCTTTCATATTGTGACGTACATCCGAGTGAAATGGATTATCGCAAAAGGAAACATGTTGGGCGAGGACTTATTCTATTCATCGTCTGTTGATTGGACGGAAGCAGATCCAAATGCGAGCTTGCAGTCGATTTGAATTAAAAGGGGCAGTTTAAGTGGACTAAATGATTTAGTACTATTGCGTTCATATTTGCAGTGAACTGTACCGTACCCCATACCACCTTTTTAAAGTGGACTCTGATATGGATCGGGGTTAAAGCACCCTTATAGGCTTTGGCATTTCTTTTTTCACTCCAATTAGTTGAGTACGAAATCATAAAATCAGAAAAATTCCTTGTTTTGTTCCTACAGGCAAAAGTCGGAGAGCAAGCCAACCTCTCCAGTTTGGTAAGCCTGATCCTTTCAGTGGCGGACAGCAATAAAGATGGCCTCATCTCTCTCCCCGAGGCCAAGTCTGTTTGGGCTTTGCTGCAGCTCAACGAGGTTCTGCTGGCAGTGGTGCTCCAAGACCGAGAGCACACACCTAGACTGTTGGGCTTCTGCGGGGACCTGTACGTGGTGGAGCGGGTGCCTCACGCGCCCCTGTACGGCCTCAGTCTGCCGTGGCCCATGGAACTATGGATCCCTACGGGAATGCGGCGAAGCATGGACCAGTGGTTCACGCCTTCCTGGCCCCGCAAGGCCAAAATCTTTATCGGCTTGCTGGAACTTATAGAAGACATCTTCCACGGTACCTTTGGGAGCTTCTTAATGTGCGACATGAGAGCCAGTACTTTCGGTTACAACGATCGTCACGACCTCAGGCTGGTGGACGGGCGGCGTGTAGTTGCTGAGGAGGCCTTCAAACAGGCCATGATCCTTCAGCGCTGCGAGGACGATGAGGACTGCGTGTACGGCGTGGACTGTAGGACTTCGTGCGACCGCGCAGAACACCGGTGCATGGCCGAGGTGACTCAGCCCAACCTGGCCAGGGCCTGCAGAGCAATGAAGGATTATCTCCTACGAGGAGCTCCGTACCATATACAGGAAGAGCTGGAGAAGCAGCTGTACGCCTGCATGGCTCTCAAAGGTTCAGCCGAGCAGATGGAGATGGAGCACTCGCTCATTCTCAACAACCTCAAGACCCTGCTGTGGAAACAGATCTCGCACACCAATGACTCCTGAAGGAAAAAGAAGATGCGCTGGTGACTACGTTCAGATTCTTGAATGTCTTCTGAAGCACTTCAGGCCATTGTGAATCTGGCTGGAGATTACAATGCTGGTAGGAAAGTGGCTGGAAAAAATGCTGATGGCAATATTCAGTGCTGCTTTGGTATTACAGTTCTCTTTAGAAGTGGGTAGAATTAAATCCGTGAGGACTTTTTTCTCAGGCTCAACTTTAGAGTAACGTTCACGTCTGTCTCGTGTTTATGTCGTCATGCTTTGTCATACACGATTGATCAGTGATCATGTTAAATTTACAATTCCTTCAGATGTTATGAAGGAGCAAATGATGCTAACTTTGCATCCATTGTTGGATGTTAACAGAGAAAATTAAGGAATACACTCGCCACCGACTGTGGTTGTGTGTCTTGTATTGTAATGTTTGTCACATGAGCACAGCAAAAAGAGTCATAAAAGAGCCATTTTGAAATGGACATAGTCCAATGCCTTGATATGCATGTTGCCAGTGAGTGTGCGTTTTTTTTTTTTAGTTCGATGCTTGTGTGAAAAAGGTAACGCTTCACAATAAGGTTCAATTTGATAACATGAATTAATAATGAAGAATATTTCTGAAGCATATTAATCTAGGTTTGTTAAGTTATAAATATACTAACACATTTCTAACATTTTAAGTTGTATAAATTACTATTGAGCAGTATTTATAAATTAAAATGAACCTAGATTAATAAATGTAAATTAACTTAATCTTATTGTAAAGTGTTACCGATCTAAATGTTTACAAGGAGTTTCGTGAATCATGCTAAAGGAAGGAAGCCTCTCAACTATGACATTTCACAGCAGTGATCATTATATTTCTAATCATTTGTTTGTTGGGTTCCCAATTTATACTCCTAAGGCATGTCTAGTGAAAATCATCTTGATATGGTAAAAATGAGATTTTAATCTAAAACAATATGAAATGTCAATCTTCAGAGTCATGATTCTTAATGTACTAATGAATGAAGAGAAAAAAAGTGCTTTGTTTTTTCGTCAACCATTTTTCAGTGGGATGTTTCAGATTGTACATTGTCAGACTGCTTCAATTTTGTGTATTTATAAATCACACTGCTGCTGATAGTTAAATGGAGATTTTTATAACATTTGATTGCATGACTTTGCACATTAAAAGTGTTTCAAATAATCTCCCGAATCAATCTACATCGTCTCATGTTCTAGTGTACCAAAGACCACAAACACACAATATTCTTTCCAAATGATTTATTTGGAAAAGGTGCACACTTTCTTTGGAGCAGTTGACAGTTCTTCTCTTCAGTCCTCTTCAACAGCCTCCTGAGCCCGAAGGAAACTGGCCTTTTTCTGGGCCACGCGATCCTTCCTCTGGGCCAGAGTGAGCTTGGCACGGTTCCACCTACAACACAACATCATCAGTGATGAGAAAAGAAACATCTCATCTGCTCATAGTAGAGTAGTAGATGGTAATGTAGGTAACAAAAAATAACAGGAAATACAAGCAACTGACATGCAACTAACTATAAGTATTATAGTACTATAATAAGTAGCAACTACAGTATTTTTGCATCACACTTGAGATTTTATGGCAAGATTAAAAGCTCAACCCTTTAACTCAACAGCACAAACATTAGTTTTTATAGCAACATGTCAAGCTGCAATGAACATTTACACAGATACTAATGAACAATGATGTCAATACTATCCAACTTTATGGCAATCAATTTCATTGTAGGGCATCCCAAAGAAAAAACTTGAAAAAATGATAAAGCGTGTGAACGCACCTCTTCTTCTTGACCTCTTTCTTGGGCTTGTTCTCATGAACTGGGTTGTCACGGATGGAAATATGAGCCTTTTTGTACATCTCTAGAACCTGCAGGAACCGGATAATAACACCATGAGACGTGTGAAGGTAAACCACAGGATTGACAATAAATGCTGAAAATGTTTTCAAATACTACACTGTACACAACAAACAAGAATTACACTTCAAGAAATTAAAGAATGAGATTTAGCCACCAGCATTATGTCACAAATAGTATTCATCTACTGACGATACGGTCTCTGATCAACATAATAATTAACACTTTCTCATATCCTATCTTAAAAAGATTATCAATCTGTGCCCCGACTCTTAATAGGAGTAGTTTATCGAAAAGCAACAAGTGAACCTGAACCAACAAAATGTTTAAGTTCTGTGACAATGCTTAAAGAGATAATTACCCAAAAATGAAAATTGGCCGTACGCATCGATTTACGCCAAGAGTAACCCTTGAACTTGACGCACAACGTAATGACGAACGCGGTTGCCCAGCCCTGTTTGTTTGAACCGCGAGAGGCGTCAAAGCTTACGCTACTCCTACATCCTACGTCAAACATCGTCAAGTGTTACTCTTCTGCCGTAAGTGGACTTGCGTATGGCCGTCTGCCGGAAACTAGTTATTTTAGTTGATTAAGTTTTAAATATGGATATTTTTATTACACGAATGCTTCGCTTCACTTCAGAAGGCCTTTATTAACCCCCCGGAGCCGTTTCGAACACTTTTATCAGGGATGGATGCGCTTTGATGGACTTCCAAAAAAATATACCCATTGACTTTATAAAGCTTGGAAGAGCCAGGACATTTTTTAATATAACACAGATTGTATCAGTCTGAAAGAAGAATGTTATATACACCTAGGCTGGCTTCAGGGTGAGTAAATCATGGGCTAATTTTTTGGGTGAACTATCTCTTAAAAGGTAATGACTCCAACTGCTTGATCCATTCAAATCCAAAGGCAAACAAAAGTTTGCAGTAAAGTGATCCAGCAAAGTGGTTTCTTACAATTTCAGGTGTGACGCCGTTCTTGATGAAGCGGGAGAACTGCTTCTTGTACAGGTCCTCGTCCTCCTCCATCAGATAGCTCATGTACTCTGACACGTTCTGGCCCATGATGTGCTTCCTGTGAACCTCCGCATTAAACTCTTTACTTTCAGTGTCGAAGCCCGGGAACCGTTTAGTGCTGAGAAAGAAAGTTACAATGTCAATATACCCATCAATAAAGATGGGACATACAACTTCACAAAATTGGATGGAACTTGTGACAATATGTGTGGCATCACTTAAAGCAAAGACAATCATCAGAAACTGCAAAAGTGAATTTTGAATGGATTAATTCATGCGCTCAACATATGTGTCTGTGATTGGCTACAATGATCAACGCTTCAAAAACATGTTGTAAATAGACATCTTTGACGCTATTCACTGAGCGCACAGATACACACAGGAGTGTTTGAAAGCAGGCATCTATCAGCGGATCCCTAATATATCCGCTGACAGACAGATCCGCTGACAGACAGATCCGCTGACAGACAGATCCGCTGACAGACAGATCCGCTGACAGACACATCCGCTGACAGACACATCCGCTGACAGACACATCCGCTGACAGACACATCCGCTGACAGACAGATCCGCTGACAGACAGATCCGCTGACAGACAGATCCGCTGACAGACAGATCCGCTGACAGACAGATCCGCTGACAGACAGATCCGCTGACAGACAGATCCGCTGACAGACACATCCGCTGACAGACAGATCCGCTGACAGACAGATCCGCTGACAGACAGATCCGCATCCACTGACAGACAGATCCGCTGACAGACAGATCCAGATCCACTGACAGACAGATCCGCTGACAGACAGATCCGCTGACAGACAGATCCAGATCCACTGACAGACAGATCCGCTGACAGACAGATCCAGATCCGCTGACAGAGAGATCCAGATCCGCTGACAGACAGATCCGCTGACAGACAGATCCGCTGACAGACAGATCCGCTGACAGACAGATCCGCTGACAGACAGATCCGCTGACAGACAGATCCGCTGACAGACAGATCCACTGACAGACAGATCCACTGACAGACAGATCCAGATCCGCTGACAGACAGATCCGCTGACAGACAGATCCGCTGACAGACAGATCCGCTGACAGACAGATCCGCTGACAGACAGATCCACTGACAGACAGATCCGCTGACAGACAGATCCGCTGATAGACAGATCCAGATCCGCTGACAGACAGATCCGCTGACAGACAGATCCGCTGACAGACAGATCCGCTGACAGACAGATCCGCTGACAGACAGATCCACTGACAGACAGATCCGCTGACAGACAGATCCAGATCCACTGACAGACAGATCCGCTGACAGACAGATCCAGATCCGCTGATAGACAGATCCACTGATAGACAGATCCAGATCCGCTGATAGACAGATCCAGATCCGCTGACAGACAGATCCGCTGATAGACAGATCCAGATCCGCTGACAGACAGATCCGCTGATAGACAGATCCAGATCCGCTGACAGACAGATCCGCTGATAGACAGATCCAGATCCACTGACAGACAGATCCGCTGACAGACAGATCCGCTGACAGACAGATCCGCTGACAGACAGATCCAGATCCACTGACAGACAGATCCGCTGACAGACAGATCCGCTGACAGACAGATCCGCTGACAGACAGATCCGCTGACAGACAGATCCGCTGACAGACAGATCCGCTGACAGACAGATCCGCTGACAGACAGATCCAGATCCGCTGACAGACAGATCCGCTGACAGACAGATCCGCTGACAGACAGATCCGCTGACAGACAGATCCGCTGACAGACAGATCCGCTGACAGACAGATCCGCTGACAGACAGATCCGCTGACAGACAGATCCACTGACAGACAGATCCACTGACAGACAGATCCACTGACAGACAGATCCAGATCCGCTGACAGACAGATCCGCTGACAGACAGATCCGCTGACAGACAGATCCGCTGACAGACAGATCCACTGACAGACAGATCCGCTGACAGACAGATCCGCTGACAGACAGATCCGCTGATAGACAGATCCAGATCCGCTGACAGACAGATCCACTGACAGACAGATCCGCTGACAGACAGATCCGCTGATAGACAGATCCAGATCCGCTGACAGACAGATCCACTGACAGACAGATCCGCTGACAGACAGATCCGCTGACAGACAGATCCACTGATAGACAGATCCAGATCCGCTGACAGACAGATCCGCTGACAGACAGATCCGCTGACAGACAGATCCGCTGACAGACAGATCCACTGACAGACAGATCCGCTGACAGACAGATCCGCTGATAGACAGATCCAGATCCGCTGACAGACAGATCCGCTGATAGACAGATCCAGATCCGCTGACAGACAGATCTGCTGATAGACAGATCCAGATCCGCTGACAGACAGATCCGCTGACAGACAGATCCACTGACAGACAGATCCGCTGACAGACAGATCCGCTGACAGACAGATCCGCTGATAGACAGATCCAGATCCGCTGACAGACAGATCCGCTGATAGACAGATCCAGATCCGCTGACAGACAGATCCGCTGATAGACAGATCCAGATCCGCTGACAGACAGATCCGCTGATAGACAGATCCAGATCCACTGACAGACAGATCCGCTGACAGACAGATCCGCTGATAGACAGATCCAGATCCGCTGACAGACAGATCCGCTGATAGACAGATCCAGA